TAGCCAATTCTATATGTATTTTTCCAACAGCGGATTTTTTCAAATGAAACCCTTGCAATCCATCACGGAACCTCGCTATTTCAATCCAGGCTGAAAGAAGTACACACTCATACATACCGATAAGCCCTTTCCGTATACAGTCGGTAGCATTTGCCAGGTCCGGTTCTGCCAGCTCTTCCGGCACGCTGTTTAGCCTGAGCCTGTGAAATCGGCGTAACCACCAAGGAGTCCATTCCCGTTTTCGGAATGTAAATCTATAATGAAACGACACGTAAATTTGATGAAACACGGGAACAGAACAGAACAAGCTTCATAACAGAATAAATTACTAGCTTGTCGACTTTACTAAACTTGCACAAAGTAAAGATGTCACTGCTAAATCCTAGCAATAAATACCACATAAATCTGAAGTACAGAACGTTTCAGTAAAGGTCAATTTAACCTAAACTTCAGACAGCTGTTTCAAGTAATTACTGCTGACATCTATTCGTAAACTGGGTCTTTAGTTTCTCTGAACTATATGAAACAGTGCTACCAGTCATGATGGTAGAACTGGTTCTTTCAAAGAATCGTTTATTGCCTCAGAAGGTGAAAACAGGTAAGACAATCTGGCATACCGTCACATGTCAGTAATTTCTTTTTTAAATCGAAAGTTGACGACTGCGATGATTTAACCAAATGGCCAACATGTCAGAAAATAACACGCAAGATGGTGTCAATTCGTAAAGTTGGATGACCTAATACGTGATGGATCAAATATACTAGGCATCTGGCGTCGTCGCGCCATAAACGAAAGAATAGCTTATAAAAATTTTAAATTAACAGCGCATAGTGCTTTGAGGCGTATAATGAAAGCATTATACTTCCTAAAAATTATTAACGGTTCTCTAACACAATTAATCACTAATTCATACGATTCATTACACTAAGGACTTTATATTATTGTGGCTTGAGTAGTTAGAACCCATGTATGGCGAATATGTGATATTCCGGCTAGATGCCTTGCTAACTGAAAAATATTGGTAACCTTTGCTTTATACTGTGAAAAGAGATTTTAACTTCTAGACCACAGAAAGCAACCAAACTAACCATGACAGCTAGTAACCGTTTTGTAAATTTAGGTAACATTAACCATTTCAAGACTGAAGCAAATCATGAAAGGCAACAACCAAAATTTAAAAATGAGCTAGTATATGTTACATGGCTATTCTTCGCTTTTCACCATTTTCACAAGAACATTTAAAAAGGAAAAATTAGAACTAACGCCGACCTTTTGCTTCACAAATCCGGGATCCACTACGTAGAAGATGCCATCGATCGTCAACGACGTTTCAGCAATGTTGGTGGCGATCACGACCTTGCGACTACCGGAGGGAGACGGCTCGAAGATTCGGGTCTGCATCTCACTTGGCAAGGCCGAATACACGGGCAGGATGATGAGTTCCGGAACGTCTGGTCCAAGGGATTTCATGCGCTCAAAGAGAATCTCGCAAGCAGTATCGATCTCCTCTTGGCCAGTGAGAAAAACGAGGATGTCGCCAGGAGGCTCGGTGAGGTGAATCTGCATGACGGTGATCAATGCCGCGTCTAAGTAGTCCGTTTCCGGCTCTCGCGTGTACAAGATTTCGACCGGGAACGTCCTACCCGGGATGGTGAAGATCGGTGCTTCGAAGAAATACTGCGAGAACTTGACGGCATCCAGAGTCGCCGAAGTCACGATCAGTTTCAGTTCTGACCGCTTCTTCACCGCCTGCTTGCACAAACCGAATAGGACGTCTGTGTGTATCGTTCGTTCGTGCGCTTCGTCAAGCATGATGACCGCGTATGAGCCGAGACTCGGGTCCAGTAAACACTCCCTGAGCATCATACCGTCCGTCATGTACTGAAATTAAAACCATAGCGAAACAGGAGTACAAGATAACATTAAAGCACAGCTATGAATCAAATGATCTCCCTTCTAAAAAGATAAACCTAATATATGGTTTTCTACGAACTATATCTTGAACATCAGAGCTAACATAATCAAATAAAAATTTTGCAAAAAGTTATTTATAGGCATCATTTATGTGAGATCACCCCTTTAGAAAAAAATATCGAAACGGGCGCTAAATATATCACTGATCATTAACTTTTAACGGAGTATTTCTGCTGCTGCACATAATTTAATGGATAACACTGGAATGTATTTATGTGAATGCTTGCAATGAAACTGGAAATGGTATACAAAGTAGTAATCGAGTACTGCCTGAAAATTAGTATGAGCTTAAAAACAATTTTCTGACAAAAAATTCAGACGACAGGCGAAAGCTCATACTCAGCCTTAAAATAACACAGGCTTAACCAAAGATCATACCAATACTACCATGTTACTACACAGATATGTCCTTTCTCTCTTCGAAGAGACAAAGAATAAAAATACGTATCGAAATAACTCTGTTCAAAAGGTTAACTGGCTATCCGATATGTCGTCACTGTTGGTGCTCAATGACCTGATTGTTTTAGCTGACCTTCATATGGACCACCCGGAGATGAAAAACCTTAAGGAATGCTTGTCAGAATTCCTACCACTGTTCTATGTCTGACTCGTTGACGACATTTTGCTATTATTCCAACGAAATGAGAACAAACTCGAAAGGCTGGAATATTTCATGAATTACATGAATGGACAGAATAAAAATGGCCGAAAACCCTTCACTACTGACGTGGAAGATAACCATTCTAGATCCTTTCTGGATGTGCTGGTGAAGAGGACACCAGTTTTTGAATTTGAGGTTTCCATATATCGGAAGCTAACATATTTCAATCGATACCTACACCCAGCGCCATGTGTCCCTCCTGAATTACTTAGGAATGTTGTTAAGAACATGCGCTTGCGAATTCAAGAGACCTGCATTAACACTTCTGGCCTAAACGCAGAATCCAACTCTTCACCAAACGTTTCTAAACAACGGTTACCGAAGGAGAATCCTTAACGAAGAATTTCTGCACCCCAGCTCAAATTAAAGTTGGCCAGTTCGTACGGACCAATGAAAATAATACCGTTCATACTTAGGTATCTCAACGTATCACGAGGTATCTTCAATCACATCACATAGGGCTTAGGGTCTACTACAATACCGGCATTTTATTTAAAAAGTACACGCTCACTAACCTGTAACAAGTGTTAAATGTGGTTTACAAAGTTTAGTGCAGAGACTGC